CTGAGAAACACTTTTAACAAGCTCCAGAAGACAAAAATCAACATTAAAAACTCAGTAGTTTTCATTACACCAATAACAAACTTGGTGAAAGAAATATCAAGAAGAATATCCTATTCATAAAAGCTTCAATAAAGTAAATCCCTAAGAATAAACCTAATAAAGAAAATAAAATACCTCTAAAGTGAAACCTTTAAGACACTGAAAACAGAAATTGAGTTAAAAAACTAGATTACTGAAAATTCCATGCTCCTCAGTTGAAAGAATATTGTGAAAATAGCTATATAACCAAAAGTAAATTACAGCCTGAATAACGCCCACGTCAAAATTGCAATGACGTTCTTCAAAGAACTAGAAAAACATAACCCTAAAATCCATGTGGAAAAACAAAATACTGTTAAGTCTACCCAAAGCAAAAACAACAATGCCTCAAATTATACTGCTGAGCCACAGTGAAAAAGACAGTACAGTACTGGTCCAAAAACAGAATGTAGAGAACAATGGAACAAAATATAGAACACAGAAATAAACATACAACTATATCTACTTAATATTTTTATAAAAGTATTTAAAAATATACATTGGGGGAAAAGACAGTCTTATTATATATATCTGAAGAACTCTAAATGCTACCACACAGATACTTGCACATCAGTGTTCATTGCTGCTCCAGTCACAATAGCAAGGAAATGAAATCAGCCTAGACGCTCATTGAAAAATTTGCAAGAAAATGGATTCATCTGGAAACTGAGTTAACTCAGACTCAGAAAGACAAACATTTCATGAACATGCTTATATGGACACTAGCCTTTAATTCTTATATATGTATACATACAAGGTTGGGTTTGAGTGTGGGTCAAAAAAATTAGGAAGGGTCCACAGGAAGAAGGGATAAAGGTTTTTAAAAAGAGAGGAAAACAAAATATATGGGACATGTAAGTGGAAAGGGAGTAAGTAGGTAGAAAGATACAAGTTAGGGGAGTAAAGATGGTAGGGGAGGATTAACCCAAAGTATGTATGAAAATGCCATTATAAACCCTATTACTTTGTATATTAATTAAAAACAAAAAATTAAAAACAATTTGTAACAATAACCTTTAATCCCAGCACTTGGGAGGTAGAGAGGCAGGCGGATCTCTTTGAGTTCAAGGTCAGCCTGGACTACAGAGTGAGTTTAAGGACAGCAAAAGCTGTTACACAGAGAAATCCTGTCTCAAACCTCCTCCAAAAAGAGTTGATGTCTAACTGTGAAGGAAAAACAGATTTCTAGAAAAAGGACATGACGACTAATGAATATAGCATTATAATCATTATAGATAAAACTTTATTCCCAGATTGTTTAAAAATAGATACTATGATCTTCCAAATGGTCATAATCATAAGTCTGCCTTCAGGCATGCATCAAAACTAAATGTACACTGTTCTAAGCCAAAACTTAATTTGAACTACTCATAAATTCTCCCAGAATCTCGTAAGATGCAAATAAATTTTCTTATAAAAATATACTTCTACATAAGCTAGATGTGGTAGCACATACCTGTAATCCCCAAAAGCAAAGACAAGACTGCTATAAGGTCAAGACCAGTGTGTTCTATATAGTAAGTTCCAAGACAGCCATGGATACATGGCAAGACTCTATCACAAAACAAAAATAAATAAAGATAGATAGATAGATAGATAGATAGATAGATAGATAGGCAGGCAGGCGCGCGCGCGCGCGCGCACACACACACACACATACACACAGATTTAGATGCTTTTTAAAGGCCTATCTATTTTTAAAGATTTTAAAACTTCTACAAATGAGGGGCCAAAGAGATGGCTCAGCAGTTAAAAACATTGTTATTCATCCAGAGGACCTGAGTTCAATTCCCAGCACTCGCATGGTGGCTCACAACCATCCATAATTCCAATTCAAGGTGATCCAATGCCCTCTAACCTCCATGACTACCAGGTACACACATGGTACACAGATGTACATATAAGCAAAACACTCATACACATAAAATACATAAATCTTTTTTAAAATTCTTTTAAATTTAAAAATCTTTTTCTTTTTTTAAATTTAAAAATTCTAAAATGAAGTTTCATGATCTAATAAGAAGAAGAAAAGTCAGGCTTGTTATATGCCTATAATCCCAGCCTTTGCAAGCTTCAACAGGAAGATATAGAATTTAAGGCTGATAAAGTAATAAGAATTTACCAAGGCAAGTATGGCAGAAGGTAGGACTTTTAGATGACCAAAGTTTTTTGTTTTGTTTTGGGTTTTGTTTTTCGTTTTTTTGGTTTTTTAGTTTTGTTTTGTTTTGTTTTTGCTAGACATTCTTTTTATTAAGGAAAGGAAACCAGACCATGCAAATAAAGCGGAGGACAGTAGTATATGCCTGTAAAACACCTCAGTTCACACAGAACTAAGGAAGGAGGATCACAAGTTCAAGGTCCAGCATGAGTTAACACAGCAAAGCTGGGCTACACAGAAAGATCCTATCTAAAGTAAACATAATGGAGTAGCTTACTATCTAAAAAGACTACTACTAAGGATTTTTAAGAAGCAAATAATAAAGGGTACTAATTTATAACTTCTAGAAACTATAAAACTGTATCAGTATCTTAAAATATCATTCTATAACATCTAAAATCAAAGATAAAGAAAATCTAAAATGCTGCAAGAAGAGGAAAAGATTCCTTACTTTCAAAGGTTCAACAGTTAGGTTGACAACCGATTTCTTTTTTTCTTTCAAAGATTTATTTTCATTTTTATGTGTATAAGTGTTTTGTCTACATGTGTGTCTGTGTACCACAAGCATGTGGTGCCTACCAAGGCCAAAAGAGAGCATCAGATCCCTTGGAACTGGACTTACAGATGGTTGTGGGACATCACCTATATGCTAGAAATTGAATCCATGTCCTCTATAAAAGCAAAAAAGTGTTTTTAACCACTGAGTCAACTCTCCAGCCCTGAAAACTGATTTAAAAAATTAAATGCCTGTTACTTTTCAATTGCCAAGAAAGAACACCATGACCAAGGAAACTTAAAAAGCATTTAACTTGGGGCTCACCATGCAGAGAACTGAAGACCATTACCAACATGATGAGGAGCACGACATCAGGCAGGCACATCTCTGAATCAACAACTAGGAGTACTTTACTGACTGAGTCATTTTCCCAGCTTCTTGTGGTGGCTTGAATGAGAATGACCACCATAGGTCCTATGTTTGAATACTTGGTTCCCAATACTTGATCCACAAGCACAAGGCAGAGAGATAGAGAGAGAAAACTGGGAATGCCTTAGGCTTTTGAAACCTCAAAGCCTGCCCCCAGTGACACACCTCCTCCAACAAGGCCACACCCTCAATCCTTCCCAAACAGTTCCACCAACTGAGAACCAAGTATTCAAACATATGACCTATGGAGGTCATTCTCACTCAAACCACCACAGGGAGCTGGAAAGATGACTCAGTCAGTAAAGTACTGTGCAATCATGAAGACCTGTATAGCACGAATCTTAAAAAGTCTTATTAAGCTGGGCGGTAGTGGTGCACACCTTTAATCCCAGCACTTGGGAGGCAGAGCCAGGTGGATCTCTGTGAGTTCGAGGCCAGCCTGGGCTACCAAGTGAGTTACAGCAAAGGTGCAAAGCTACACAGAGAAACTCTGTCTCAAAAAACCAAAAAGAAAAAAAAAAGTCTTATTAATAAAATCAAACCTGAAGCCAGGTATTGGGGTGAATGCTGGAAGATCAGAGAAGCAGAACAAGCCACAGACTCCTCACCTCGCCAATTCCTCAGCTGATCCTGTTTCCTCAGACTGGAAGCCTCTGAGTCCTCATCCAAATGGATCTCAGCTGAACTGCTGCTCAAAAACCAAAAGGCTTAACCTCTAGTTCCTGGTTTTCACACCTTTTATACCTTTCTGTTTCCTGCTATCACTTCCTGGGATTAAAGACATGTGTCACCATGCCTGGCTGTTTCCAGTGTGGCTTTGAACTCACAGAGATCCAGATAGATCTCTGCCTCTGGAATGCTAGGATTAAAGGTGTGTGGGCCACCATTTTCTGGCCTCTATATCTAGTAGCTGTTCTGTTCTCTGACCCCAGATAAGTTTATTAGGGTGCACAATATATTGGGGAACACAATATCACCACAGACCTGAGTTTGATTCCCCTAAAACACACATAAAAAGCTGGGAGAGATGGCACATTCCTGTAACCTTAGTGTTGGGGAGGCAGAAGTAGGAGAATTCCTAGGGTTTGCTAGCCATTCTATGCAGAGAAATCAGCAAGCCTCAGATTAAGTTAAAGATTCTGTCTCAAAATCTGTCTTAATCAAAGATTCTACTCTTTCCAATGAATTGCAATAAAGACCTTTATTAAGAGTAAAGAAAGAGCCGGGCGGTGGTGGCGCACGCCTTTAATCCCAGCACTCGGGAGGCAGAGGCAGAGGCAGGAGGATCTCTGTGAGTTGGAGGCCAGCCTGGTCTACAAAGTGAGTTCCAGGAAAGGCGCAAAACTACAGAGAAACCCTGTCTCGAAAAACCAAAAAAAAAAAAGAGTAAAGAAAGAGCTGGGCAGTGGTGGCACACGCCTTTAATCCCAGCCTTTAATCAGGAGGCAGAGCCAGGCGGATCTCTGTGAGTTGGAGGCCAGCCTGGGCTACCAAGTGAGTCCCAGGAACGGCGCAAAGCTACACAGAGAAACCCTGTCTCGAAAAACCAAAAAAAAAAAAAAAGAGTAAAGAAAGATATAGAAGAGTTTAACCAACAAATTTAAAATGGGAGGCATATTTGTGGGAAGAAGAAACAACCAAAAGTACAGGGTAAAATAGAATACAAAATGTATTAGCTGGGGATCCCCAAGTAATTCAATTATGTCCTCCTTCAACTGCTCCAAACCAAGTTGAAGATCACAGCACTAGAAAATACCATTAAAAAATTGTAAAAAAAAAAAAAAAAAAGGAATACATAAGGCACACTGTTACATTTTTATATTTTATATAAATTCTTACTTGTTTTTTCCTCTAATCGATTAACTTTATCTTTGGATTCCTCTAGCAAGAATGTTAAATCTTTCATTTTATTTTCTTTCTCAGTACTTTGGATCAATAGTAGTGATACCTAAAATAAATTTTTAAAAAACAATATTGATGTAAAAAGTTAAAATTATCACCTTAGCATTTATTATCACCTATGATTATTTCGTATACTCGTTTTATATGCAAAAATTTTTATATAGCTGTACATGCCATTTAATACATGGTTATAAAATAAGTATTTAGTGAATGAATGAGTAAACTTGTATAATATACTCAATATTAAACTACTCATTTCAAACTTTTAGAGAAAGCTACATAATGAAGTATGATTCATTCACTCAATAAATATTATTGAACACCAGAAACTGTAAGTATTGAGTATATAGAAATGAGAGAACTCACCTTTAAGAAACTTAGCACACAAACAACTACACCTGGACATTATTGGTAATAGAACAAAAATGTTTTCAAAATTAGGAAAGAAGAATCTCTCTTATTAGTATTGGTATTAGGGTTTTTTATTTTGTTTTTATTTTTGAGACAGAGTTATCACAACATAGCCTTAAGTGTACTGGAACTCTATAGCCTCTAACTCATAGAGATCCACTTGCCTCTGTCTCCCACATGCTGGGACTAAAGGCATGTGCCACCAAACCTAGCTAAAAAAAGGAGCATCTAAATCAGTCTCATGGAAAGTAATAAAACTTTCAAAGGATTAAAATGAGTTTTGATATAAATTAATCAGGCAAGCCAGGCATGGTAACACATGCCTTTAATCCCAGCATTTGGGAAGCAGAAGCAGGAGGATCTCTGTGAGTTCAAGGCTAGCCCAGTCTACACAGCAAGCTCCAGAACAGCAAGCACTACACAGAAAAACCCAGAGAGAGGGAGAGAGAGGGAGAGGGAGGGGAGAGAGAGAGAGAGAGAGAGAGAGAGAGAGAGAGAGAGAGAGAGAGAGAGAGAGAGAGAGAGAACAGACAAATATGGAGAAATGGTTGTTCTAGGCTGATATAGGAAGGCTAACTATTGAGAAATCTTTATTTAGATAACCAAAAGTATTCTGATGGCTACAGGTAATGTAAAGGAACAGCAGAAATTAAAAACTCAAATTAGAAAAAAAAAAGCCAACCTCCTATTTTATCTCTAAATCACCTTAAAATTAGCCAGGGAAATAACAAAGATAAATTTTATCTCTACAAAACCACAAGACAACTATAATCCAAAGCATAATATATAAAGAAGAAAACAAGTTGGAAGGAATGGAAAACGGCTCAACTTAGAAAATTAGGGTAAAACCTAAGAGTTTACAAAGGGAGAAACTAGATAATGAGAAGCAAGATAACGAATCCAAAGAGTCCTGAAATTTTTTAAGAATTAAGAGACACAGACACTTCATCAGATGGACTTAAAACCAAAGACTAAGTACAAAGAAAAAAAATCACCTGTTCACTCTGGACTCTACCACCTACTAGCCAAACTTTGCATAAAGTTTGTATGCAAAGGTGGAGCAATCACAGAACTAACTCTGCTCCACCTTTGCATACAAACTTTAAAAGATAGGTTTGGGACAGAGCTAACTAGCAGACCACTTACCTAGCATACCCAAGACCCTGGGTTCAAGCTCCAGTACCTCAAAACAAAACAGATCATCTCAAAATGGATATTGCAAGTGAGGAAAGGGGCATACAAGATAGAATGGAAAAGTCAGCATAAAAATAGAGACACTCATCTGACCTTTCCTACCCTGTCAAACTCTGCTCCATAATGTCATCTGTCACATTTCTATCCCCAGGAAGGAATTTAGACTGTCTGGAAAATTCTTACAATGGTATTTACAAATCCTTAAGAAAAAACACTAGCAGGCCAATGACTTAGCAAGATAGTCCAACAATCTATAGTCTCAAACATGGCACCAAGAATTCCAAAATGATCCTTTTTAGCATTTTATTCTACTTTTATGTTTTGTAAAATAAGCACAATTTTGATTTTTAAGAATACTTCCTTCTTCTGAAAATCTGGCTTAAAAATAAAGTTAAAATACAAAAAGATTGTTTAAAGATTTTCACACAACATAAGCATAACTGAAACATCTTTTAATCACAATATAAAACTCTAAGCATCCTTTCTGTACTTCTAATTAATTTTTTATTATTGTTAAATATATACCCTCCTTAACTGTGATTACAAAATATCTTCTGGAAAGCCAGAGAAGATGGGTGGAAATAAGAGAGGATCTCTTCTCCCTTTTGAGACAAGGTCTCTCTATGAAGCCCTGGCTGTCCTGGAATTCACTGTGTAGACCAGGCTGCCCTTGAATTCACAGTGATCTATCTGCCTTTGCTTCCTAAGTACAAGGATTAAAGGAGTGCACCACTGTGCCCAGCCAGGATCCCTTATTATGTATCACTTCCTATTTGGGAAGCACAAGGCATGAAAAAGAGATAGCAATACAAACCTAAAACTGACATTCATGCAAACATCAGAGAATACAGACTTACCATTTCAAGTCTTCCACTATGTGATATTAATAGAAAGAAACAACAGAATGTCTTAGTTTCCTTTCATTGGTGTATAAAGAGTAAATTTCAAAACAAACTGCAAAATATGCAGGTACCAATGATCATCTTTATATTATTTAATAGGGTTTTTGTTTGAACAAAATTTTTCACATTTTTACAGCAATATAAACTGATATAAACATTTTAGATTCACTGATTCAAAACCACTGAAGGCTGACCTTCCAATAAGTGCATAATTGAATCATAAAAATTAATTTAAGCAAAAGGCTAAATATTTGAATACATAATACTAAAATTATATCATATAAATTAGCTCGTATGTCAGCAAACACAATATTTTTGATTTTTTAGGTATTTTATGAAGTAACAAATATAAAAAATGCAGTATTAATCTCAGAATAGTTAGAATTTAAATGTACTTATTATAAAGTTTAAGTGATAAATATGCTAATTAATCTAATATTATCACTACTCAGTGCTCAATGTGGACATAAACCAAAACATCACACTGTACCTCATAATTATGTGTAATGAATTTTTTAAAAGAATATAAATTGTTGGTTATTTTTTAAAACCTGATTTTCCTTGTCGTTTACTTCCTTCTTATATTCTTCTTCAAGGTGTTGGATTTTTTCATTATCTTCCTTTACTTTAAAAATAGAATAAATAAACCTTGTCTTAACACAATTGCATAACTTTTCCATTGTCAACAAAGTAAGATTTCTTTTCCTTGTTTATCTCAAAATTATACTAAATCTCAAAAGTTTCTAGTGCACTGAAAACTGGTATTTTCTTTCTGCCAATTCTGTTTAGTAAAATAGTGACTGTATACAGTATCAAAGTTATAGCTTAAAATCCTATAGCTCTTATAATAGCACTTACATAAAAACTATTCTTTATAGAATACTTATATAAAATAAAAAATCTTAGATATGTATATACTAATTTACCCATAAATATATAAATAAGGTAAAACTATGCCTCTAAAAAACTAAATATAAGCCATTAATAAATTTATTTCATAGAAAAGGTGGTTTCAAAACCAAAAGAAATTTTAATTCCCTGCCACAATCAACAAGATTTTGAGAGACTTACAAAAGCAAAGATAATATGAAATATAAAATAGCTGAGAGCATCAAATTAAAGGGGTACAAATGTTAGCAAAATCTAATAAAACACAAGTAGCAGAAAAGCAACATGAAAAGTTAAATAGGACTCCTACACTTAAAATGCATTTCCAGTCTGGCATTCTCAGCTTGCACACGAAGGTCCTCAAAAGCTAGTATCATTTTCTAGAATACAAAGTTTAACTTTTAAAATGAGATCTTTTTAAAAACTTTTTTAAAACTTTGAAAATATTAATAAATGTGACCACATAATCACTGGATATAAATTCATACAACTTTGAAAACTGCAAACACTGTAACATAATAATTTACTAAAAAGATATAAGCTGTGTCTATAATGAAGCCACTGTGATATCTTAGCTGACAAAGGTATCTGCTAACAAACCTTTCAGCCTGAGTTTGATCTTTGGAATCCATATGGTAGAAAGAACAAACTAACTCCAACCTCTACATGCACCATGTGGCAGGCACACCCATGCAAATATACATACTATTTTAATAACTATGCCTAAGAGATTCATAAAACAAAAATGCCTCCAACCTGTAAGCCCTTTGCCCAAAGACAGAAACTTCCTGAAATGCTGGAGGCTATTATTTATGGGACATAATTAGCCACATTTTCGATCCCCTAAACAAGTTTGCTTGATTCATCTGCACCAGATGTGCTTGATCACATGTAGACAGATGTAGTGAAAGATTCAACAGATCCATTTTATCTGGCTTGAATTCCATAGTGACGGCATCTAGACTTTGAAGTAATCTTTTGTAAATAGTCAGGGATTGCTATCTGAGTTGTTCTTTTAAAGGATTCAGAGTCTTTGCATAACTTAGTTCTGAGACATACTTGGCAAACCAGGAAGTTTAGTATGGTTGAGAATTACTTAGGTAATGATTCCTTCAAATAATTCCAGATAAGAGGATTTACTATGCAGAAACTGACTTGCTAAAGGTGTCTCTTGTATAACAATAGAGAGGCTTTTGTGAAGCCATGAGGCAGTCACTCCATCAGAAGTTGATGATGATGATGATGATGATGATGATGATGCTAAGCCCTTATAAACATGCTGGAGTGACTCTCTTCAACTGACCCGAGTGACACAGGTCAACAGGAGGTACACAGGCAGGAAATAGGTCAGGACATATGCTTGTTCCTGACTGGATGTAAGCAAGAGGTGCACAGGCAGAAGTACATCAGGGTATGTGCTTACCCCTGATTAGACCTGGTGGGACATACAGTGGCCTTAGGGGTTTGCCTTTTTAAGCCTCTACAAAATGTGATTAGTCACCATTTCATGGGAAACCTGGAATGGACCTGGCCAGAGTCCATCAACCTGCTCAGTATATAAATAAAGCTTGCTTCAAATATGGGTTAAAATTGTAGTGGTCTTATCCTCACCTGGTGGAATTAACATTTTTCTGGAGGCCTCAGTGAGATTCAGATCACCTACCCAGATTCTAAAGCTTGACCTTCACTATAGGAACTCCAGAGCTGAGGGGCCGTTTCAGAAGGCAAGTGCCTTGAGACACTCCAAGGCTCTGAGGCTGCCTTTGGCAGACTGTGTGAACTACCGTGCTGAGAAATGCAGCAAGCATCTACTTACAGAGGACTTCTGGTGAGTCTGGTCTGATCTGTGGGATCCAGATCTAGGACCCCAATATTCTCCTGTCCAGTGCAAATAGTGTGACGTCACCCATCTGCCTGATTCTGGTTGGTTGGAAAGTTTTGTCTGTTTTGTGTATGTGGATGGGTGTGTGTTTTCTGGTGTACGTAAGTTTGTTACAAACATGGAACTCAGAACTGTGTATGTATGGCCACCACATTCTGATTTGTTTTCTTTGAATGTGTGAGCTTACTGTGCTGTTTCTCTTGCTGCTAGCTACCCAGGCTCAGAATTTATCTCTAAGCTTTCTGGCTACTGAATCTAATGTAATAGGGATTCAAATGTTTTTTGGATATGCATAATATTAAAGTTGTTTTACTCTGTTCTACCTTATTGAGAAGCTGGCTCTAGAATTGGGTTATGGCTCTGCCTTTCTCAGACCCAGGCATGCTTTTAAAGTCTCTATATCCATCCAGGTCAAGAACTGTGACAGGGAGAAAAGAGCAAGGCAGAGCAGCTAAAGGAATTACTAGTTTCAAGATTTGTAAGTTTATTGGGTATGGTTAAAAATCTATAATATCTGTAACAAAAAAGTTAAAACTCTTAACATAGGGTTGATAGTTAAAAATCTATACATAAGTAATCGTAAAGGAACCATATGGCATGATTCCATTTTGGGATATAAGCAACACGTGGCCTGCCACCATCTATAGGCAGCCATCTTTGCCAGAGTTGGAGAGGGCAGATGTCATGTGACTTCACTGCCATCTTGATTAAAGGTAACCAACATAGTGTGGCCCAACCAAGGAGACAACACAAATCTCTGAGGTACTTTGGATTGGGATGGATTTTTGTATGATAATTCCTGTCCAGTCATTAAAACAAGGTTTATGATAGACAGGACTTTAAAACAATGCTTGTTTAGGTATTAAAGCTGCACCTCCAGACATTCATATACAAGAATGTACTTTACACTGGCAACCAAACTTTGTAACGTAAGAGTCACCTAGGCGGTATTTGTTTTAAAGGGATCTTGGAGAACATTTGAGGTTTGCCAGTGTGTAGCAGGGTTGGAGTTCCTAAAGAAAGCCCAGTTGCAATTGGGGACCCTACCAGTTTTGGAAATGCCAGTGCCATGTAACAAGTCACCAGAAACACCAGCTGCGATGAAATTGAGTCACCAGGGGCCTATAGAAGGTAGGCTATGCATGCTGCCAAAAGTGGGGCCAGAGAGATGACCCAAGCCCCTTGGGAAAGCCCAAAGGATTATAAATATTAATCCCAAATATTAAACACTGCATTATTTGTACTGTTGGAGCTTGATTTTGCCCTGTGCAGATTGTGGTCGTGCCCTGTATCTTTTTGATATTGTAGGAAAACACAGCTAAGAAATTTTAAACTTTTATAAGAGGAAATTTTAGAGTTTTACAGAAATTTTAAATTAAAAAAACTGGATATATTTTAAGGAACAGCTTTTAAAGTTAAGTTTATAAAATATTTATATTATTAATACATGACCTTAAATAAATAGGTAAATAAATAAAAGGCTAAAGAGTTAGGGTCACAGCTAAGAGCACCAAACACTAAATTCCAGAAACTGGGATAGTCCTATCTTATGGTGCAGCAAGACAATGACCTAAGCAGTCTGGTAAACAGCTTAGAGCAGCAGTTCTCACCCTATGGGTCATGACCCTTTGAGGATCGAAAGACCTTTTCATAGGGGTAGTAGACGTCTGCATGTCAAATGTTTGCATTATAATTGATAACAAATGGCAAAATTGTAGTTGTGAAATAACAAGAATAACTTTATGCTTGGGGAGTCACCACAACATATGGAACAATGTCCAAGGGTCACAGCATTAGGAAGAGCCACTGGAATAAAGAATGTCTCTCCTTACCTAAGGTCTATCTAGGCTTAAGAATGTATGGCTAGGGCTGAAGAGATGGCTCAGAGGTTAAAAACACTGGCTGTTCTTCCAGGGGTCCCGAGTTCAATTCCCAGCAACCGCATGGTGGCTCACAGCCATCTATAATGAAATCTGGTGTCCTCTCCTGGCATGCAGACATACATGGAGGCAGAATGTTGTATACATAATAAATAAATCTCTTTAAAAAAAATGTATGTCTAACCTCATTGTCTTTGGTAACTTTATTAAGCCTTAGCTATCTTAATAAACTGAGTCATATAATAAACTACTATATTCTGTAATGGTGTACTTATAAAAGCATCAGGAAAGTTCCAAGTCTCTCTGTAAGCTGTATTTCTCTTTTCGTTTCTCAAGAAAACAATTTAAAATATGTAAATACAAGTTGTAAAGGTAAAAGGAAGTGATTTAAGGTATATGAAAAAAGAAATATTTCAGATTTCTTTTCCCCTTCTATGCTATTGTTATACTAAGATTTCAAAAGTTCAAAGTTTTAACACTGATCAATGGAGATCTGGTAAGCTGGCAGAGTAATGATTAGTATTATAAGTCAGAAGCGCAAGATTTAAAATTTGTTTCCTAAGTATAGATCTAAAAGTGCTTCTTATCAGGCTAAAAACATTTCTGTCCAATCTATATATCAGGCTCTCTGGACAGAGGGAAAAAAGGGTTAATGCTTTTTTTCTTTTCTTTTTTTTTAAATACTTATTTATTTTTTTATGTACACAGTGTTCTGTCTGCATGTATACCTGCATTTCAGAAGAGGGCACCAAATCACATTATAGATGGTTGTGAGTCACCATGTGGTTGCTGGAAATTGAATTCAGGTCCTCTGGAAGAGCAGCCAGTGCTCTTAACCTCTGAGCCATCTCTCTAGCCCTTCTTTTCTGTTTTTTATTATTAATTTTTTTGTATTTATTTTACATACCAACCACAGTTCCCCCCTCCCCCCTCTTTTCTACACACCCCCATCCACTCCTCATAAAGGGTAAGGCCTCCCATGGGAGTCAACAAAGCATGGCATAGCAAGATGAGGCAGGACTAAGCTCCTCCCCCCTGTATCAAGGCTGAGGGAGACATCCCACCACATGGAATAGGTTCCAAAAAGCCAGGGACACATCCTGTTCCCACTGCTAGGGGCCCCTGAAATAGACCAAGCTACACAACTGTCACCCACATGCAGAGGGCCTAGGTCAGTCCCATGTAGACTCCCTAGCTGTCAGTCTAGAGTCCAGTGAGCTCCCACAAGATCAGGTCAGCTGATCTTGACCCCCTGGCTCCTACAGTCCTTCCTCGCTCTCTTCAACAGGACTCCTGGAGCTTGGTCCAATGCCTAGCTGTGGATCTCTGCATCTGCTTCTTCCATCAGTTACTGGGAATGGGGAAATCGATAAGATCTCCTGGGTAAACTAGGGGTGGGGGAGAGGGGGCAGAGTGGTAGAAGATGGAAGGGGATAGGAGATGGGAACATGAAGGATCAGGATGGTCAAGTTGGGGGAGGGATAGACAGGGGGAGCAATGAAAGAAATATCTTGACAGAGGTGGCCATTATGGGGTTAGAGAGAAACCTGGTACCAGGGAAAATTCCAGGAATTCACAAGGATGACCCCAGCAAAGACTCCTAGAATAGTGAAGAGGGTGCCTGAACTGGCCTTCTCCTGTAATCAGAGTGGTGACTACCCTAATTGTCATCATAGAACCTTGATTCATGTTCATGCTTTTTAACCCAAAGCTATGGTCTTTGCTAGGACTCAAAAGCAACAGCTGTTACATAGACACCTGTTAGCTGCTTTTTCTACAATGTGGATTTCAATTTCAGCACAGATTAATGTGAATATATCTAAAACTTGTATCTTTTTGTAAACTAAAAATTTCATGTAAGCTTAAGAGAATCAAAAGAGTTGTAAGACTTGGACACATCTCTCACAGGTCGAAAGGACTCCAGATGAGTACAGTCTATGTTTCCTGATCTGCCTACTCCTGAGAGTGAGACCTCTTTCCTGATCTTAGGACTCCTCCCCTCCCCAAACACTAGGACCATGGGCCTGAAAGTCCCAAATGTAAGATTCTTCTTTAAGTTCCTAAACTTTAACTTCTGTTGCTAATCTGTATCTGTCTCAGCAAATTTTTTCACTTGGCTGACAGACACCATCCAGGAATCAGCTGCAGACTGCTAACTGCTGAGCTCTGGATTTGCTAAAAGCTAATATAAAAGAGTACAGCCAATGTGACTGCTCCTTGTCTCTTCAGCTGGGTCAGTTAACCAGAATCTTCTGATGAACACCCCATTTCCTGATCCCACTCCCAGTTTCTGACTAGGATTTCAGCCATCCTGAGCCCTGACAACAATATCCTAGCTTCAGCCAGAGCAGTTACAGAAGAGACTATGTCTCCCCTTGTCCCCAACAGGCTGAAATACTAAGTCTAAAAAGAAACTTCCTGGCATAGGAAACAAAATAGCTACGTATAGTAGTGCCAATTGTCATACCAGGAAAACAGGTCCAGAAATATCAACAGGTAAATTCACTCACTGGAATATTTCTACAATATAATAGGACACTTGACCTGCTCTACGTAAAACAGAGAGGTTACTGTATAACTTTAAGAGAAAATTGTTGTTTCTATACAAACTATTTGGAATTAATTACAGATAATCTGGCTGTACTCAAAGAAACATTGCAAAATAGTGGGACCTGAGATGAAATAAGTAATTGGTGACCATTCTCATTTCCAGGCTCCTCCTAGATGGTAATTCTGATGTTAGCCATTTCAGGGCCTTGGACCCTCTGTTTCTACAAATTCCTGTTAGCTCTTGCACATTCATACCTTAACTAGATGATAATTCCTGTCTGGGTATCATTAAGATGATGGTTATTAGATCTCAATATAAACAGGTACCCATTGAAGAGTCAAGGATTTGACTCATGATACAACTCAAGGATAATGTGAGAGCCAAATACCTCCAACCCTTGCCCAAGGATAGATACTTACTGAAATACTAGAGGCTATTGTTTACTGGAGATAACAAGCCACGTTTTTGCTCCCCTAAACAAGTTTGTTTGACTCATCTGCACTGAATGTGCTTTATCATATGTAGGCAGGAGGTACATGGGCAGGAAGTACGTCAGCATGTACGCTTGCCTGATTGGATGTAAGCAGGAAGTATGCAGGCAGGAAGTATACATCAGGATGTGTTCTTGCCCCTGATTGGACCTGGTGGGAAGTACAGTGGCCTTATGGGTTTGCCTTTCTAAGCCTCTGCAAAATGTGATTAGTCACCATTTCATGGGAACCCTGGAATGGACCTGGCCAGAGTTCATCAACCTGCCCAGTATTTAATTGAAGCTTGCTTCAAATTTAGCTTAAAATTGTGGTGGTGGTCTTATTCTCACCTGGTGGGATTAACAATACAAATTATATGTACTTAATATTTTATGGATATTTACATATATGTATGCATATAAAAAAATATTATAGAATGACTAATGTCATATAACACTGAACAAGAACAAGAGAATACTGTCACTCTATTCTCTTAACACATTTTAACACACAATAATCTCCTACCACAGTCCATAAGATTTTAAGGGGCTTATACAAACAAGTAATAAGATCAAAACTATCATTTTAGACTTCTCTGTGCTTATTAAATTTCTTTCTTCCCCAATAACATGAGACAGCTTCATAAGAATTCAAAATTGTATTTGCATCATCTGATAGTACATATTTACTTAACATTCAATAAATTTTGCTTTACAAAAATCAAACTATTTTATTCATTCATTTACTAATATTTACTGAATGCCTATTATGTGTCTGGAACTATTTTAGGTACTTAGGATACAATACAAAGCCCACTGTACTGGAAATTTTATGTTGCGTATGAGAAAGAATGTGCATACATATAAAATAAGCAGGTGTGTATCAAGCAACTGTCATGTAGCTTTAAATATTCTTCATAAAAGTTAAATGAAATAGGGAGATAGAGAATAACTGAATAATGATGTTTAGATTAACTGTACAGTTAGAGAGAAAAAACAATGTTCATACACACTTAAGAGCTTGAACACACAAGTTCTGGAAAGAACAAGCAAAGCATCAAAACCAGAAAGTATTTGATAAAGCTAAAAAATAAAACAGAAAAGGATTATAGCATAAAAACGAAGTAGAAAATAAGATAAAGGTAAGCAGGAGCAAAATACAGATTAGTAGTACTCAACTTTTTTTCTTCTAATCAATGGTTATATGTCACAATGTGCTGGTCTCTGACACAAAGCAACCAATAAATATTTAATAAATTAAATTGTATTACTAACATGTTAATTTAAGAGGTATTACAGAGTTGGAGAGGTGGCTTTACAGTGAAATCATGTGCCATATAGCAATATAGAAGACCAGAATTGGAATCTCTAGAACCTTTAAAAATTCTAAGTGGGAATAGTGGCCTGCCTGTTATTCCAGCCTTGGAAAGCAGAGACAGTAGATCTCTGAAGCAAGCTGGCTAGGGAGATTAGCCATATCAGCAAGCTCTGGGTTTGATTGAGATACCCTACTTCAAAAGATAAGGTGGTAGAGCACAGAAGGAAAATTCCTGACATCAACCTGAGCCTCCATATATACATGCATAGACATGCACCCATACTCATGTGAACACACTACTATATACAAAACCTTAGTGTTCATAGTTTAGAACCTTAAGAATTTTACTGGTGATTCAATCAAGGATCAATTAAATGAAGATCTTTTAGCAATTACAAATGACAAGACCTCTGCAGCTATCACTCTGCTTAGAAATTCTTTTACTTAAAATAATCATGTTTTTATTAACACTTACCTCAATGTTATTATTTAGATCCACATAAACTTGTCTGGTTTCTTCCCGTTCATACTCATCTGTAATTATCATTAAAAACTTCAAAGTTAAATTTTAAAACATAACATCAAGACAATATTTATAATACCTCAGAAAACATTAAAACATTTAAAATTCTGTGAGTACATAATTCAGTTCTGAGTTTCTCAAAATAGCAGCAGAAAAGGTCTAGGTTTTGATCTGTTATGCAAAAATCTTGGAAGTTTCTATTCCCTAAGTAAAAAAAGAAGGTAAACTGAAAATTCTTTGACCCAAAAGAGAAGCAAGGTCACAGAGCAAACCTTCAAAAATAGGTAAGCAAAGTCACAATTTACAATTTATTCGAGCAGAAAGGCAACAACAGAAAACTCTGTGAACCAGAGCCAGCATTTAAAAAAGCAAAAACACCTGAACTATAATTGGCATTGCTAGTCACTCAATGTGGATAAATCTGAGATTAAAAACTTCAAAGGGGGCCGGGCGGTGGTGGCGCACGCCTTTAATCCCAGCACTCGGGAGGCAGAGCCAGGTGGATCTCTGTGAGTTCAAGGCCAGCCTGGACTACCAAGTGAGTTCCAGGAAAGGCGCAAAGCTACACAGAGAAACCCTGTCTCGAAAAACAAAAACAAAAACAAAAACAAAAACAAAAAAAAAAAACTTCAAAGGGATAGTCATGGTAGGCACAACATCCTTACAGGCTTAACTTCTTAAAATATTCCTAAGTTCAGATGTTCCAACAAGAGGAAGTGAAGAGGGACTATTTGAAATACACTATAGGCATTCTGTTCCTAATAGAGCTTCCCTGTGGGAGAAACTATTTAACTAGGGCAAAATCATTGACTGACCTGGGAAAGGAGAAGGAACTGATTCCAGCCTTCCATACAGAAGAATTAAAAATATACTGTTCCAACTATCTCTAGACTACCATATAGGAGAATGAAAGGCAGAAAAAGGGAAAGGAATGGAAAGGGGAGGGAAGAGAAAGAAGGTGAGAAGAGAAAAGGAAAGGAAAGGAGGAGGAGAGGGGAGGAGGGGAGGGGAGAGGAAGAGAAGGAAAGGGAGGAGAGGGCAGGGAAGAGAACAGAAGAAGAGAAGAGGAAGGTCAAAGGGAGAAGGGAAAATAATAACTCCAGCACACTCTAGCCATTTTGTATACTGCCCCGCCTAAAGGGAAGGGAAAGTACTTTAAAAGTTCTTAATTTATAGGCAAGGATTTGCTAAAAGATTGAGGCCTAATCACAGGTCTACAGAATATGTCCTACACCTCTCCCTGTCCTCTATACAATACCTCTGTTACTGAAGACCAATTTATATCAGTTCCATATGCAGCTGTAAAGTAGTAAGGCACAAGAACAACAAAAAACACAGAGCAAATATCAGAACAAGGATGAGAAAGGACAGAGATGACAGGAATTACCAATACACATAAAAAATAGTAAATGTAATAAAGATTTTAATAAAAAAATAAAGAAAGTTTCAGAAAGAAAGAACAGAATAAAACTGTGAGAAAGTTATAAAAGATGAAATATAGGCATAAGGAAACACTAGAAGAAAGAAACAAAAGTACTATTTCAAACAATAGCAACTAAGAATTTCCCCAAATTAATGTCAGACACTAAACCACCTATCTACGAGATTTGAGAAAAATAAACACCAAAAGAGAAAAAAGGAAAAAAAATACATCTAATTCTATCATTTCAAACTATATGAAACCAAAGATAAAGAAACATAGGGGGAAAATATTAATGAAGAAAAAAATTAGAATTAGAGAATAAAGGCAAATAAACACATTTTAATTTGCAAGGTTCAGGATCAGAAGAATGAGGCCTAAGGATGGTCAGCCTGGACTAAAGAGTGAATCAGAGCTATTAACTCCTATAAGTTGTCCTTTGGCCTCCACAAATGTGCTACAGCACACTTGTTTGTGCACACACATGTGCGCACTCTCTCTCTCTCTCTCTCTCTCTCTCTCTCTCTCTCTCTCTCTCGCGCACACACACACACACACACACACACACACACAAAATAAATGTTATTTAAATTTTTTTAAACTTTCTCTAGACAAAATAAATTTATTGTCAGTAGACAAGCTTCAAAAATGTTGCAAGTTATTTTGAGAGAAGGAAATAATATAGGTAAGAAATTCAAATCTGCATAAAGACGAACACCAAAGAAAGAATACATGAAGGTAAAAATTTTTTAAATTCTTTAGTACTATGATCAAACTCAGAGCCTTAAGTATGGTAGGCAAACACTCCACCACTAAGCTACATTCCCAGTCCTTCACTTTTTTAAGGAAGGTCTCACTACGTAGCTCAGGCTGGCCTTGAACTCAAAATCCTGCCTCTACCTCCCAAGTCCTGCAATTATAGGCAAATGCCACCACGCCAGTCTTGTTATCCTTATTCTTAATCAATCTAACATGCAATCCATGTAAGTTTTACTGAGTCTTGTTATCCTTATTCTTAATCTAACATGCAATCCATGTAAGTTTTACTGAGTGAGTCAGTGAGTGAGGAGTAAGTGAATGTGAATGTGAAGGCTTAGAACATTACTGCATACTGCTGTTGACTTTATAAACATTGTCCATTTGGACTATACTAAATTTATTTTAATTTTTTCTTTGATAATAAATTAACCTAAGCTTATTGCAACTATTTTATTTTATAAACTTTAAATTTTTACAAGAGTCAAAACAAAATACTGTACAGCCAAACAAAAATATTTTCTTTCTTCATGTCATTATATAAATACTTTGTTTCTTGGTCTTTTGAAACAGACTCTCACTACATAGCCCAGGTTGGCCTCAAACTTGCAATCTTTCAGCCTCAGCTGAAATGCTAGGATTAAAAGCATTTATCACCATGCCTAGTATTTTCTATTTTTTTTTCTTTTACTTTTTAAACTTTCTAGTTAAAAATGAAGATATTTACACACAAATTTATCTGAGGTATACACAGTCTCAAGATAATAAACATCACTGTATTCTATTTCCACATCTTGCTCCACTGGAAGATTTTCAAGAACAGGAACACACATGGAGCTGTCATCTCCTATGATACAATACCTTCTTCTAGAATACCTCTGAAGGATCTGTTTGAGGCTCTTGTAAAGTTAACTTTTTTTTAATGTGGAAATACACTTTTAAATAGACACCTAAAATATGGTCTAGAAAATTTACAAAGCAGCAATATGCTTGATTATCAAGTACTATATAATTAATATATGTGGCATACTTTCATACAACTGGCAGCACTAGAGGCTTGTTTACAGCAGCATTGCTACAAATTATTATACACTACAGTGTTACAAAGGCTCCATTACTAGATGAAATTTTTCAATTTTTCTATATTCTTATGGTACATACCAATGTCCTTTGTATACTCTATTATTGGCTTTAATGTAGTTATAAAATGTATCACTATACCATGCCTACCCCACAGCATTAGATTTCCTATTATGGACATGGATTTGTATCTTATTCTTGATTCAATGCCATGGTAGTTCTGGACAAAATAGGCTAGTCATAAAATCACAATTGAAATGAATATTAACTACAAATATATATTCTTATTGGTATTTATTACCTTTCAAAAACAGAAAACGTAGCTACTTCTTACATTAAAAATAAGGTCTGAGACACATAAAATTCAATGAAATCAAAATTAATTCCAAAAACTGAAAAGGCAACTTTTCCTATCTCCACCATTAAATGAGTAATAAATTGATACAACCACATAAAATAAGAAAGATACCTACATTTATTTGTCTTTTCTGCAGATCTAGCACAGGTTTCCTTAAGCAGATTACACAAATGTCTTGTAGCATTATTCCTGAAAAAAAAAAAAAGTTTCCCTAAGTATAATCTGATCTCAAAGCAAAATAATACATGGAAGTTACAGACATATAGTTACAATTTTAGAGAAATTTTTAAAACATTATATTTTATATATACTGTATATCACACAGGAACAATTATATCAAAAAAAAAGTAGAGACTACTATTGTCAAAATCATTTAATAACTGCTTCCCTCTAAGTAACAACTCCTTACCAGTCTCTAGGAAGTTACTATTACAATTAATACCCTCTCAGAAAAAAGGTTCCAGATTTGTCTAGGAGAAGGCAGGGCTAAACTTTTCATTTACTAATTGCTCCTAAACTGTTCTTGATGCCTGTGCTAGTTCTATTGCTGTGCTACACCGTGACTAAAAGCAACTTGGAAAAGGGTTTGACTTACATGTCCTGATCACAATCACTGAGGGAAATCAGGTCAGGAACCCAAGCAAGAGCAAAGGCAGGAACCATGGAGCAATGCTGATTATTGGCTTGCTCCTCATGGCTTGCTCAGCCTGCTACAGCTCCAAGCATCTGCCAAGAACATCACTGCCCACAGTGGCAAGGCCCTCCCACATCAATAATTAACCAGGACAATGAACCACAGATTTTGCCTACAGTCCAATCTGATGGAGGCAATTCCTCTAACCTTCAAAACCAAAAGTAAGGTAATTTTTTCAGCAACTATCCATTGTGTGAATAAGATCTCTATTTGTATTAATTTAATAATATAAAGAACAATTTCGTTTAGTTTTCCAACATACAGTTTTTCGGTACAAAAAAAAAAAAGGTATTTGAGAGGAAAAAGCAGTTCCAAATTGGGCTGACTCTATTTTACAAGTGTTGCTCCTAGGGCAACAGTGACACAGGAAGATGGACAATATGCAAAGGTAGTTCTAGGTAACAAATTTTTAGGCATCTTTGTTGATTTCAGGAAATGATTCCTCCTGACACCTGACATTTCAGAAAGTGAGAAGTTATTCATCATTAGGCAACTTGCTAAATCTAAAAAGATAGAATGGGTATATCTACTTTTTCCACAGCACTCATGCCATGACCTGATGCTTTGGTCCTGGAGACCTAACAGAGGTGGCAAGGGAATGAAGAAAGGACACATAGACACATATACAGAAAAGCTAGCATCAGATGGACTGCACTCACTCTGATGGAGCAATGTCAACTATGCAACAACTGAGAACCTCATTGAGTTTATTATGTACGACACAAAAGGAGGAGCTAGCTAGTCTTGGTAGGAGGACTCTGAAGGGGAGCAGTCTCAGGTTTTGGGGGGGGGTTGTTTTTGTTTTTTGTTTTCTTTTTGGTTTTTCGAGACAGGGTTTCTCTGTGTAGTTTTAGTGACTGTCCTGGATCTCACTCTGTAGACCAGGCTGGCCTCAAACTCACAGAGATTCACCTGCCTCTGCCTCCCGAGTGCTGGGATTAAAGGCATGTGCCACTGCCACACAGCTGCAGTCTCAGGTTTTGATCATCCAGGACAGGGAAGCTACAGTTATTAGTGTTTGAACACTGATCAACCATTCATAAATACTCTTATTTGCACACAGTCAAGATTCTCTTTCAGAGCAGAGGAAGGTTTTGCCATCTCTCACATTTCACCCTGGGAAGGCTTTGCCACTTCCCAGGGTCTGAGGCTGTGCCCATGACAAACACTACACATTCACTCAGGACTTTATCCACTCCCTCTTGGCTCCCCACACACTCAGGCAGAAATTGTTATGCTACATAACACAAAGAAAGTACTCAACAAATAAAAACTATCTTAATAATAAATTTGGAGGTAAAATCATTAAATTATTACTTACTCCTTTATTAAATCTTTATTTTCTTGAATTTCTTCTTCTAATTTCAAGCTTACTTTCTCATTTTCAAACTAATTTACAAAATAGAAAAAGTTAATCACATTTCACTTAAAAAAATCAGTGAGTATAATCATTAAGCAGATTTTCTATACTAGCATATTATGTAAGTTCTATAAGATTTTCTTTCCACATAAAAGGAAATTTTTGTTACACCTTTTGAATTATCCATAAAAATATGGGTTTCGCCGGGCGGTGGTGGCGCATGCCTTTAATCCCAGCACTCGGGAGGCAGAGGCAGGCGGATCTTTGTGAGTTCGAGGCCAGCCTGGTCTACAGAGCGAGATCCAGGAACGGTGCAAAGCTACACAGAGAAACCCTGTCTCGGAAAAAAAAAAAAAAAATGGGTTTCTTTGGAAGGTGAAATGTTGTGGAGTACTAGTTTGGGATGAGTTAATTTTTTTTTTAATTTATTTTTATTTTTATTTTTAATTCAGTGTTCTGCTTGCATGTATTCCTGTACACCAGAAGAGGGCACCAGGCCTCATTACAGATGGTTGTGAGCCACCATGTGGTTGCTGGGAATTGAACTCAGGACCTCTGGAAGAGCAGTCAGTGCTCTTAACCTCTGAGCCATCTCTCCAGCCCCAAGGGATGTGTTAATTTTTTTATTCTGTGGAACATTTGTTTAATGATGCAAACATGTGTTGCATTCTTTTATGTTACATTTGTTTATGTCGCATTTGTTTAACTCTGTGAAGCTGTGTTACTTTGCCTGTCTAAAACAGCTGATTGTCTAATAAAGAGCTGAACAGTCAATAGCAAGGCAGGAGAAAGGATAGGCAGGCCTGGCAGGCAGAAAGAATAAACAAAGGAGAAAAAGAGAGATCAGGAGGAGGAGCAGGATAAGGAGGAGGACTCCAGAGGCCAGCCACCCAGACACACAGCAAGCCATGGAGTAAGAAGTAAAGAAAGGTATACAAAAATAGAGCAAGGCTTAAAAGGTAGATGGGATAATTTAAGTTTAAAAAAAGCTGGCTAGCAACAAGCCAAGCTAAGGCCAGGCATTCATAAGAAAGAATAAGAAGTCTCTGTGTGTAATTATTTGGGAGCCGGGTGGCAGGTCCCCCAAATAGCAAAGAGCCAAAGAGTAAAAAACAACCAACTACTGTGGAAGCAGGATCAGGAGTTCAAGGGCCAGTTTCAACATATACAGTGAATCTGAGGCCAGACTGAGATACACAAGACTAAACCCTATCTATCTCAAGAAAGGGGAAGGGGAATACAAAATGGCTCAGCCAGTTAGGACATATGCCACCACATCTAGCAATCTTGAGTTCAATCCTCAGAACCTACATGATACAGAGAAGACTAACTCCCACAAGTTGTCCTCTGACCTATACACACATACATTCATACCCTAGTAAATGTAAAAAGGGAAGAAGGAACCTTTCACTCTCATCAGCTTAAAATTTGCTGAATGACCAGTAAAAGCATTCAGTAATATTTAGTACAATATTATCTCTAATAATTTTGAAGTGTATTATCTGCTTCTACTTTGACTTTCTCATTCTATGCTATATCAAAACTAAAGTTTCAAAGTTTTGTGTGTAAATATATTCTGATATATATCACATCAAATTAACATCAACAGGACTTAAAATTTTAAACTCTTTGTAATAAATTAATGTCATTAAATTGGTTATTATCTAAAATAATTATTCCTTTAATCATCTTCATTGAATTTTGTGGAATTTGTGCTGTATTCACTCCTAAAGCTGAACTGCAACTTTTGTTAATGAAATTTCAAAAAACCTTGTTCTCAAAATATCTGCCACATAAAATTAGCCCAATTTGCTTTGAATTAATACTCTATTTCCAACAGTACTGTGCTAATATTTACTGTGTGTCATATTTTTATCTTTTTATTTTATTTTGATTCAAGTACCTGCCATATTTATAATTCAAAACTTCATTATACAAAAAAAAATATTTGTCATATTTATAATTCAAAACTTCATTATACCTGCAGTTCCTGAATGGCTTTTCGCTGGGCTTCAATTATCTTTCTGTTTTCTTGCAACTTATTTTCTTTCTGCTTCAGTTCAGATTCTATGTTCACTTTCCATTTTTTGATCTTTTCAGCCTCCTTATACAGTTTTGAATACAGTCTGCTCATTGGCTCTGAATTCTATTTAAGTGAATTTCCAAAAGTTAATTCTCTAAGATTTTAATATAACCAACTACAGTTACCTACAAGTACATCTGTATTAATGGTGACAAACTGTGCACTCAATTTATACTTAACAGGATTAACTCATAGTATCAAGACAGTATATTCTACTTCACTAAAATTACTGAATAAAGTCAAAGCTGAAAAATGCTAAAGTTAGAAACAATTTAATCAATAAGAGAATCTGACTGGATAAAAGCTCAAATACACCACTCCACAAGAAATATATAAATGTTAACAATTGTCTTAAAGCATTTTGATTAGAGAAATAACTTGAGGATCAAGACTGTAATGTTTAAAATATAATGACAAGAAAAATAGAAAATATAATATGTAATTTTCTTTTAAATTTTTTTAAATTTTTTTTAAGATTTATTTATTATGTATACAGTGTTCTGCCTGCATGTATGTCTGCAGGCGAGAAGAGGGCACCAGATCTCATTACAGATGGTTGCGAGCCACCATGTGGTTGCTGAGAATTGAACTCAGGACCTCTAGAAGAGCAGTCAGTGTTCTTAACCTCTGACCCATCTCTCCAGCCCCATAATATGTAATTTTCAATGAGCCTAAGGTTTTATTTAGATTTCTTGCCTTCTTTTTTTAATCCACATATTAGATATACCAGAGGAATGTGGGTTTATTTTTCATTTTGGAGCTGGAGATCTAACTCGGGGTATCTCAAGTGCTATGTAAATAACACAGCTCTAAAATAAAACTATCCTCAAGCTTCATGTGGCACACACCTTTAATCCCAGCACTTGGGAGGCAGAGCCAGGTGGATCTCTGTGAGTTCAAGGCCAGCCTGGTCTACAGAGCGAGATCCAGGAAAGGCGCAAAGCTACACAGAGAAACCCTGTCTCGGGGAAAAAAAAAAATTACCAATATTTGCTTACTGATAACCTGTTATCAAAATATAAACTGGTTCCAATTTTTATTCTATGACATTATGAAGCTTAGCAATAGACATATAACAGTCATCAGGCCATTTAATTTCCATAAATTTAGAAGATATGCTACAAGAATGATTTTTATAACTAATATCAAAACTATGTCATATCCTACAAACACATTTCTTATACAATCAAGCATCCACACAACAATTTCATTAAAGATTATTTTTGTAAAATGCTGGCCTTCTCACATATTGTATCCATCTCTACTCCTCTAGTCTTAATTTTTTGTTTAAAATTAAATTTCTCCAAAAGAACTGTTGTTTTTATCCAGGAAAATACAAAAGCTTAGCACTTCAAATACTTTAAGAGGAAAAAATATCTGGAATGGGGATGCAACTTTGTGGTAGAGCAGTTGCCTAAAATGCATGAGGCTCTGATTTAGTCCCCAGAACCACAAAAAGAAAAATTTCAAAGAATATATTTTAAAATATTAACCAAATATTAATACTTAAAAAGGTATATTCAAATAATAAATGCAATTTCAATAATAAGAAGGAAATATCTGACCTCAAAATCGGAGTCACTTAGTCCTTCCTGATAGTGGCAACCGCCAGAATTAGCAACCTAAAAGATTAATGTTTCCTATAAGATTATATTTTTAGAGCTATTGATAGTTAAATACACAAGACTATGTTGGCTCCATGAGTAATGGCACTGGCCACAACGATAACCTGATTTGAGCCCTAGCTCTGCAAGTTGTTGTCTGACCTACACACATATACCATGGTATATGCACAGACACACACATACAAATACATACAAGCACATATATGCATAAATAAACATAATAAAAATTAAACTGCACAAGACTACTAATCCCACAACTACCAATTTTTCTTTTTCAAATAATTCAAGGTCTAACAGATTGTATGTACACACTTTCACTAACCTGTTCAAGCACTGGCAAAATACTAAGTTTTTGTAAAGCAGGATCTGAAAAAAAAAACAACTGGTATTAAATACGAGAACTTTTTAAATTATTTTATCTAGTTGAATATCAAGAATATCAATGTAACACTTATATTGTATTTTCAGTAACTGGCAATGTATATAACAAAATGTTTCTATCGAAGTTGATGGGAGCTGGAGAGATGGCTTAGTAGTTAAGAGCACTGACTGCTCTTCCAGAAGACCCAGGTTCAATTCCCAGCACCCATATGGCAGTTAGCAACTGTCTGTAATTCCAAGATCTGACACCCTCACACAGACATACATATAGGCAAAGCAATGCACATAAAATAAAAATAAATTATATAAAAGTTGATATATTGTTTGTCCAAGCCTACCTGTATCAATGTTTTCCCGACTTTTTGAGAGACTGGACACTGTAAATGGAACCCCAAAATCACCTTCCGTACATTTGTTCATAGTCTAGAAATACAAAGAGGTTCCTTAAATATTCTGTTCAATACCACTTTGATACCTAACAATGCAATATCCAACTATATAGTATCCATATCTACTTAAAGAAGCCACTATAATTATAAATCCTTTGATGTATATAGTGTTTAAAATAGCAAATGCTTCTGCTATGCAATCTAAGCAAAATTTTTAATTATGTATTTATTTCTCCTAGTAAGATGTACCTAAGCTACAAATTACATAACAGAAGCTTTGCAGATATTTTGGAATAATATTAGTAATTTTAACAGTTTCCTTCAATCTCTCTTCAACCAAATTGAGATTTATCTTTACTGAATCAAATTTCAATGTCTTGGCTACAGCAGAAATTTTCTGCAGCATGTAAAATTAAAATACTAACTGCACCATCCTCACTTCCATATTCCACTTGAGAAATTTAAAAATAAAATGCTGCTTCACCTGAGAAATCTAGTAATTAGAATTTTACTAATAAATGAATTTCTCCTTACCCTATAGTCTTAATTTTCCTTGGTAAAATTCCTAATTTTCTCGTATTTTTTCCTTATAAATTGCCTCAAATCCTGAGAGACATTTTCTTCGGCCACTGGTTAAGTGTCACGCTGCTGTAAGCAACACTAATGAAACACATTGGGTCACACACACACACACACACACACACACACACACACACACACAAGAAACAAAGTAGAAGGGAGACTAGTAGGAAGAGGAAAGAAATTAGTGGGAGGAGAATAAAAGGGCTTAACGAAAGGTTCTTACATACACTGTTCAATATCACTTTGATATTCAACAGTGCTCATCTACAAATACATTATGCATATCTGCCTAACGCCACTGTAATTATAAATCCTTTGATGTGCATGCAGTGTTTAAATTACACATGCATAAAAATGTCATAACGAAGCCCATTATTACCTACAATTAATATGTTAAGACATTAAAAATAAATGGTTTCAAACCATTTAACCAGAAAGATAATTTAAATCAGCAAATACTATTTATGCAGAGTTTTACAGCAGCAATTCTTTTAGATTTTAAGTATGTGTCTGTTTAGTGCCTGCAAGTCTCCCTAGAGCTGGAAATGCTGGGACCTGTCTGTGCTCTTGGGCGCCGAGCCATTCTGCAGCGCAACAGTGATTCTTTAAATGAATCTTGTCAACACACAGCAAGGCCTGTTAACCCATGGAAGTAAAGCTATTCAAACTCTCGGGAATATCAGCTATTAATATAGGGCACGAAGTGAGAAAGCACGCTTTTCTTATTAGCATTTATTTACTGTGTGTGTGTCTGTGGACTCACGTACGTCTGGGGGTGCGTGCGGGGGACAAAAACAACTCGCGGGATTTGGTTCCCTTGACCACGTGGGTTCCAGGGATGGAACTCTGGTCCCACCGCGCCTTGCCACCCGCCCGCGGGCTGCACGTGCACGCTGACCTTGAAGTAGCTGGAGTCTCCTCCCGCCGTCTGCGGTTTCACGGCCGACACTTGGCTGCTGCTCAGTCTCGGGGGGACGAAGAGCGTGAAGGGCTTCTGCTTCTCCATGGCGTCGTCCGCGTGGGTCTACCCGGCCTGGGGGAGGGTGGAGGGGAAGCGTGCACAAGGCATGGTGAGCAAGGCCGCCGCAGGACGAGCCGGGAACCGCGGTGGGGTCCCGCCTGCCTCCGTGTCGCGCCCCCGGCGCGCGTGGCCTACGGGGCGGGGGGGGGGGGGGGGGGGGGGGGAAGCCCGCAGGGTCCCCGCCAGCTCCCGACTCGGGCCGCCACGCGGCCTCAGGCCCAGCCGGAACCTCGAAGGCCGCCTGGGACAGCCCGAGGCCCAGCGGGCCTCCCTAGGCCTCGAAGCCGCCGCGCGCCGGGCCACGCGGGACGGAGCGGCGCGTGGGGGGTCCCCCGCCCCGGCAGCCCGCCACACCCTCACCGTCCGCGGGCTCCGCGCCGCCTCGCGAGGGAGCGCCTCTCTATGAAAACATGGAATGGAACCGCCGCGAGCTCCTGCCTCAGAACCTCCTGGACGGCGGGGAAGGCCAGCACCGGGCGCCGGGCAGCGCACCGACTGGACCGAGGGGCGTTAACGGCTGATTATAACGGCTGGTCGGACTCCCCAGCTGGCCAGGCTCTCGCGATGCACATCTCGCGAGACTTTCCTTTCCACGGGCCGGGGTTCTGATTCTCCGCCAAGTGTGAATTCTGTGAGCGGCTAGTGTCAGAGGACACTGGGAAAGCTCTCGTGGTGCTCAGTCGAGTGAGCCGGGGAGCTCACAGCCTACGTGTGCCAACAGTCACATTGCCGTTATAATCATTTTAAAGGAGTCATTTCGTTGTTTTTTTTTTAAAAGGATTTGTTACTCTCTGGTTTGTGTGTAAGAGTGCTTTGTGCGTGTGCATGTATGTACGTGTTCCACGTGTTCACCATGTGCGTGCGGTGTCCTGGGCGGCCCTAAGAGGGCGTGGGATCCCTTGGAACTGGAGTTACAGATGATTGTTAGCTGCCATGTGGGTGCTAGGAACCAAACATGGGTCCTTTGCTAGAGCAATAAATTAGGGGGTGGGGGTTAGACTTTACAAAGGAGGATCATGAGGAAATTTTGAGCAGCAAGGCTGACATGATCAGGTTGGGAAGAAAATTCAGGTCTATGGAGTGAGACAGTTTTGAGAGCTTGGACAAGATGCACGGACCTGAATGATCCCATGGGGCAATACATTCAGCAGGTTGAATCGGTGTGTTTTAACTTAAGTAAAAGGGAGAGAAATCAAAGGGGCAGGCTTGGATAGCTAGATAAATCATTATTACAGTGCTGAGACAGATGCAGTGATCCAATTCTCCCTAGGGTACAGGTAGCCTTTCTCTTGGGCTGGCTCCACTTAATGCCTGCAGCTTTCCTCAGCAGATGCCTCACCGTCCTGACATCTCCAACATGCTGGAGTCTCTATAACTTAGGCTTCACCTTCACAGCTTCATACAATGGCCTCTGAGGGCCTTCTTGCCGGTAATCAGACTCTACCACACATTGGCTGGCCTCAGTGGTCAGTACAAGTTTTCATGACCCCCACTCTTGGATCTAGCCTGACTGCAAAATCACCACTTGCCAAGTTCTGTTGCCATCTGGAGACATAGACTGGGCCCTTGGACCACAACTCCAACAGCCTTTATGTATCTTCAAAGCCAAATCTAGGGAAACACTTCTTTAGGAGAATGTTTTCAGGCAGGGATCCCTGCAGAGAACACCTTCAGATATATTCTCGGTTCACTCTCCCCTTTCCAAATGAATTTGGGTTTTTTCCAAGCTAGAGCCTTCAATGGATGAGTCATTGTTCCCAAGGCACCTCTTCTACTGTCCCAGTGAAAAGCAAAAGGCTTCTCCTAAACTGCGGTGATATTTTTAACAATTATACACTCCTGTCTGCAACTTTAAGCTTCATCAAGATCCTTTCCCTCACAAACCTGCACATTTTTCATATCTTTCTGCTCAGTTGCTGAAAACATTGCTAAAAGCAGTAAATATGCCACAGCCCAGTGCATGCTATCTTGAAATAATTTCTACCAAACAAATTAGTCCTTTTTTTTTTTTTTATTTAAACCTCAGTTTCTCAGGATATAGGAATAGTGTGGCCAGATTTTTGCCAGAATGTAACAGAAGTGGTCTTTAACCCAATTTCTGATAGAGTCTCTGTTTCCCTCTGAAACTTCCTGAGCCTGGACTTCACTGCCCACACTGTTGGAGCTGTGGTCTTTCACACTTCAGCACTGCTTAGGGCAGTCTAGGGTTTCTCTAGCCAACAACTCCACATGTTTCCAAATTCCTCCCACAAGCTCCTTGCAAAGGCTTACTAACCACAAGGTCAAATTTGTTGTAGATTTGTTGTTTGTATATCCCACTTCTCAGAACCAGTTTTCATCTCTTGTTCTTGTGATAAAATAGCAATAGCAGCTTTGGTTCACAGCCCCTCATGGTGAGAAAGCCTGCGATCAGGGATCAGGAACGTGAGGCAGTGGCTCCTGTGGGTCACATTGTAGCCACAATCTAAAGTCCCTGAGGTACCTTGATGGCTATTTTCAGTTACTTGTTTGCTCTGTTTCTTTTCCTTTTTCCCTTCCTCTTTCCCCAATATTCCCTTGGAATAGCAATGCATTCTATAACTAATGTTCCTGGGGTTAAATGCTTCAATTTATGTCCTACACTACTATGAGTATGCTGTAAAGGTAAGCATGCTGTTTAAACCCACAGGCTTGCATTTAGGAAGCTGAAGAGGATATCATTGTGCATCCACATAGAGACCATTTCATCTGCGTCTGTTCTAAAAGGGAAAGAGATGAAGCTATCTAAAAACATTGCTTTCCAAAGCATTTCAGCTTTGCCTTCTCAGTTTTACATTAATTTTGATAAATTCACCAAGCCTGATGGTTTCATCAAAGAGTTAGGTCTCCCATTAGCATTTTTTCAGACTTTCCTTTAAAAATTCAGCTATTGAAGTCAAGCTGCACTGGGTACTCTCAGGGTATTTGTATGTATGACAGTACAGAGTATTAAAATGTGTTCCTTTGTCTTCAGCTGATATTTTCTTTGGTGGAATAAATTTAGCAGTATAAATTAAAGGAAATCTTGAGTGAACGTGGATTATTGGCAGGAGTACAGCCATGTCAAGGACCAATGTCTCTGACCCATGATAATAGCAAAGCCTTCTTCTGGCCCATGTGTGGATATTGACCTTGTGTGTGAAAACTATCACCGCAGCTTCCTCCTCCAGGATGACTACAACTTGAGATTGTCTGGCTACAGAGACCTTCAACCAAGACTAGCTAACCTGACTCCTTATTCAATGCGCAATAAAGGTGCTAAGTTTCTCAGTTGTTGTAGAGTTGGTGCCCTCCGTCAGAGGCCCACTTGTGGTGGTTTGAATGAGCATGGCCCCAACTCTCTCCTATATTTGACTGCTTGGTCCCTACTTGGTGGACCATTTGAGGATTAGGTGTGGCCTTGTTGGAGGGGGTTTGTCACTGGGGATGGGCTTTGAGATTTCCAAAGCCTATATCAGGTCCCGTCAGCCCCCCTCTTATCTCACCTGCCTCCAACTTGCAGACGAGAATGTAAGCTCTCAGCTACTGCTCTAGTGCCATGCCTATTTGCCTGGTGCCGTGCTCCTTACCATAATCATTATGGACTCATTCTTTGAAATTGTAAGAAAGCCCCCAATTAAATGCTTTCTTTCATAAGTTGCCTTGGTCATGATGTCTCTTCGCAATAATAGAAAAGTAACTTAGACACCAACCAGTCCCAGCTTTTCTGTACTGTGTCTGTCACTTCTTCATTCACTCATCATCCCAGGCAGGCTTCCAGAACCAAGCCATGCAGGATACAGATGGGATGAGATGGTTTCCGGGATAAAGACTCTTGTGTCTAAACCTGACAATCCATGGAACACACATAGAGATGGAAGGAGAGAACACACTCCACAGAGCTGTCCTCTGATGTCCACAGATGTGTTTGGCATATACACACGTGCATGCGCACACGCACACGCACACACATGCACACATGGCTTTTTTAATTAAAAAAAGAAAGGGAAAAACAACAACTGTTAGCAAGAATTGTGAAGGGAAAGGAATCTTTATACACTGTTGAGAAGAAGTAGTCACTGTGGAAATCACTATATCATTTCCTTCAAATCTAAATATAGACCTACTGTGTAATCCATCTGGGAATAAACTTGAATCAAGAGCCACATAAAATCACAACACCTACAGTCGTTTACTACAGCACTATTCACAGTGCCCAACATAGGAAATCAAAGTAGGTGCCATCAATGGATGGATGGATAAATAAGATGTGATATATACAGATATACATGCATAATTCAGTCCTTAAGAGAAACGAAACTATGTCCTTTGCAGAAAAATAGATGGATGTCTTCATGTCAAGGGAAATAAACCAGACTCAGACTAGACTCAGGTGTTTTCTTGCATGTGTAAATCTACTGTTTTAAGGTATGGAAGTAGATGGAGACCATCAGGAGAACAAGAAGGGAATCAGCAAGGTGTGGGGAGTCCAGAGTGGGTGGCAAATACAACTGAAATATCTTATGTACATGTATGAAATTTTCTTAATGAAACTCACTATTTTGTGTAATTAGCATACACTTATTAAAAAATGGAAAGCAGGCCGGGCGGTGGTGGCGCACGCCTTTAATCCCAGCACTCGGGAGGCAGAGGCAGGAGGATCTTTGTGAGTTCAAGGCCAGCCTGGTCTACAGAGCGAGATCCAGGAAAGGCGCAAAGCTACACAGAGAAACCCTGTCTCGAAAAACCACAAAAAAAAAAAAAAAAAAAAAAAAAAAAAATGGAAAGCAGATACAATTCGAAAAGGTCTTGTTCCTCTTTAATCACTCATGAAATGCTGTGACAAGAAGAGGTTTAAGCATCAGCTTCTTATTCCATCAGCATGTCCTTAATCAGTGAGGCACACACACTGCCTTATCCTAATACAACTAACCTTTTTTCACATTTACGCATTAGATATTTTCAGCTAAGTGAAAAAAAATAGTTTCTTTAGGTAAGGACTCATGAAGAAACAATGACCACCAGTTCTTCTCTTTCTTCTTCTGAGATGAGGTCTTACTATATATAGCCCAGGATGGCCTTGAACTCGGGATCTTCTTGCCTCCATCTCCCAAGTACAAGGATTGTGCCACCACATGGCTCCCTTGAGTAGAATCCTAGGGTGTTCCTCTATTGAGAATCCAAAATTCGACAAAATCTGATGAGCCCTTCATTTCTCCACTTTATGGTGATGCATGATAACACAGGGGTTTTGTTTACAGTTTTCAAATCAGTCATCCAATTGTGATTTTGAAATTTTGAGACAAACCTCAACAGTCTACATTTTCAGTAAAGTGTGTACAAATTCCATTTTTCAGAGAATAATGGAACCAGTCTGGGGTCCTTGGTTTTCCAGGTGCTGAGGATTTCTGAGTGCCTGTGACTCAGAGTCCGCAATTCAGTGAGCCTCCCTATGAGGTGTGCAAAACGATGTGGTTCCTCAGGATGGTACAGTTTTGAATATTTAAACAAAAGTTGTAGAACTGGTTCTTGTAAGTTTTCTACATGCTGCTTATTTTTAAGGCATGGACGATCTGAAAAACATATTTATCTTATGTTGATTTAAAGTGGTGGAAATAAGGAATTCATTTAAAACAATGCAGTTATTAAATAATAAAAATCATAAGTACTTACAGAACCCTAATTCACATTAGATTTGCTAATTAAATTGTCTTTGTTCATCATTTTATTTAATCTTCACAATAGTCTATTGAGCTATTCTACTTTTATCACATTTTTCAGATTAGTTCCCTGAAATATAGGGAGTTAAGTAATTTCCATAGAGTCACATGGGAACAAAGGATCAGTAAGTAATGTTGGTAATATAACAGTCATGAAGGGCTTGCCTGAAACTTTAAAATAGCAAGTAATGTCTCTCCAGTCAACAGGAAGTAAGGGGCAAGACTTTTTTTGTTCCTATGATAAGATATATTGCAACCGGGAATTTCTGAAGGCTTAGACAGCCTTCGTTTATCCAATCACTTTGCTAACTATACAGCAATGAACTTCACAAACAAAATTTTCTCCCTTTATTGTACTTATATTCTTAATATGGAGTAGGTGAGGAAGGAGAGAGACAAACACATCTTAAAAAGCAAAAACAGACCGGGCGGTGGTGGCACATGCCTTTAATCCCAGCACTTGGGAGGCTGAGCCAGACAGATATCTGAGTTCAAGGCCAGCCTGGTCTACAAAAGTGAGTTCCAGGACAGCAAGGACTAAACAGAGAAACCCTGTCTTGAATAAATAAATAAATAAATAAATAAATAAATAAATAAATAAATAAATAAATAAATAAATAAATAAATAAATAGAGGACTGAAGAGACCACTCAGCAGTTAAGAGCACTAACCACTCTTACTGATAACTAGGGTTCAATTCCCACACCCACATAGTGGCTCACAACCATCTGTAACTCCAATTCTAGGAGATCTGACACCTTCTTCTGAACTCACAGGCACTGTACACACGAGGTATATATGCAGACAAAGGAGACACACAAATCAATAAAAATAAATGATAAAAAATATGTTTTTAAAAAGCAAAAATAAAATAGTGATGTGCTATAGAGAAAAATAAACAGGAAAACAGATAGGACTCTGGGGTGGAGGGATGGTGGCTATTTTACAAAGACTAATTAGGGATATAACATCATTTAACAGAAATCCAAATGATGAAGGAGAAAAAATCTAAATAAATAAAATAACAAAATGGTGAAAAAACTTTATGAGAAATAGGAAGCCACCAATGGATACAAACAGAGGAATGACATGATCTGACTTACATTTTCAGAGAATTCCTCTCAGGACTAACAGAAAGTCTACAGTGCATAGAATCAGAAAACCCAGTTAGATAGGTGGATTCAAGTATGCTGCTTGGGCTAGAAACAGTAAGAAGTAAGCCAGGCAGTGGTGGTACACACCTTTAATCCCAGCATTCAGGATGAAGAGGCGGGTGGATCTCTGATTTTGAGGCCAGCCTGGTCTACAAAGCAAGTTCCAGGACAGTCAGGGCTACACAGAGAAACACTTTCTCAGAAAAAAAAAAGAGTAAGTGGTTAAGTGCTAGATATATTTTAGGGTTGAGGCAACAGATCTGGTGCATATGTGATATTAGTATAGAAGAAAGAAAAGAATTAAGGATTTTTTTAATTTGCACATGCAATTTGGAAGATTTAAGGTTTAGTACAGGTGGAGGGAATATAAAAGGATGAGTTCAGCTTTGGGCATTTCAAATTTGATATACCTGCTCAACAGCCTCATGGAGATCTTGAGGAGGCTCTTTAATAAACTCTGGGGGAGCACACCAAGTTGGTAGATAAGTTTGGGAGTATCGGATGCACACAGGCTTTTAGTGACAAGAGATAGGATGAAGTCATGAAGGAAGAGAGTGCAGAAGGAAACGGGGCCTTGTCACAGCCATCTGTAACCCAGTCCCAAGGGATCTGACATCCTGCGTTCTCGGCAGCCCAAGGCACAGGTGCAGTGCACCAGATGCAAGCAAAACATGTGCATAAAATAGAGTTAATTTCACGGAAACCGAGTCTTAGAACAACTGAAACATTTATCATTGTGAGAGACGAAGAGGACAAAATAAAGGAGACACAGAAAGAACCGCCAGTGAACAGGGGAAAATCAAGAGAGGATGATGTTCCTGAGACTCAGTGAAAGGAAAAAGCTCTCAAGGCCAAGGCCAGTGCGATGGTCACCAGGCTTGACTACTTGAGTTCAACCTCCAGGACCCACATGGTGGAAAGAGAGAACCAACTCCCATAGTCCTCTGACCTCCACATACGTGATATGTACACACAAACACTAAATAAATAAATATTTCAAAATGTCTAACAAAAGGAAAAAATACCTATATGAGTTAGTGGGTGGGTGGCTTGGTTTGGACTGGAAACTTCTTGAGAGTGTCATGTTTTTACAGTTGTTTGCATAACTTCAGTTCTGTTTGTGGTGCTTCATATTAACAAGGTGAGAGAAACGTTGATGGTTGGAGTACAGTCTACAAGAGAACCTAACACTTTCCACCTAACAGTGAGTGGGAATGCCAAGATTATGAAAGGGTCAGTTGTTGGGAATGAATATATCGGCCCTGAAAAACGATGCTAAACAAGGATCGGCTGAAGGGAAGTGACGAAAGTGATGGAGTTTTTATCATAAAACTTCAATTAAAAGTATCTTAATGACAAGTTTATAATCTAGGGGAGCCCATTGCCCCGCTGAAAACATTCTTAAATGTAGAGAGCATGACATGTTCCTTGTTTTAAAAGATGCCATGGAAAAGTGTAAAGGACGTTGGCCATGGACACCATTAGTCCCACTTCTGAGAGGCAGTGAAATCCTCACACAGCCAGCACACCAGAGCTCTGAGGTTACTGCACCATCCAGGATTTGTAGATTAATTCCTACACTGAACAGAAAGAAAGAAGACTTTTGTGGTCCAATGAGGGTGAACTTTTCCTAAGTA